ACACACTGAGTGGCCATGTCCTGGAAGGTGTGACCTTGAACATGTGCTGGTCAAGTGGCTTCCGGCCCCCCGTACCGAATTCCTTGTACTGGGACCACAGTCGAAGTCTCAACGTACATAAACAGTGGTGAACAAACACACATAGTTTCGACAGACAAGCAGTCAGCTCTCCGTCTTCTAAATCACCAATCAAAGGAAAATGGACACAGCAGTACGCGGGAATCAGGCTGAGATAATGCGCAGTTCGAAGTTCTTGCCTCTTGATTGGGATCAACACCCTTTGCAGAAGCATTATCATGAACAACAGTAGGATGATGTCCACACCTGAAACAGAGTCACCTATCAAAATGGACGTTGACGAAATGCCTTGCTCAGGTTTTGCCGTTTTATCAGGAAGGTCAGATTCCTGAAAGTAACCTCAGAACGCCCGGAACCTACTGCTCCACCGAACTGTCAACAGGAAAGCCGGCAAGCATCCAGGCCAGTCAACCATTCAATCAGTTCAGCAAAACCTGATGAGTGTTCTTGCACGCCACAGAAGCACGACCGAATGTGATCAGCGTTCAGGTTTTTCATAGAGGCACGATCGATGTTGATGGGTGTTCACTAACGCCTATCAAACAGCCTGGATCAATGTCAGAAAGTCCCCTTTAAATAGCTGGGGCCGTTGTAAATTTTGCTCTCGCACTCGCTTGTTCGGAATGTAGCTGTTGTGTTCGCTTCTGTGAGGCTTTTTTCTCCGGCACTAGGCACTGGAGCGAGTCAGATCGGCGAATCAACAGATATAACACGTTTGCTGTTTGTTACCCACGAGATCCCACGTGGTTGAACTGGCACCCCCATTATATGGTCGGGCTCGGACCGACTTAGTGATTAAGGTGTGAACTTACTGACCGAAAGCCATCACGAAGAGATTGTAGCTTACCGTGGTGTGATGGTTTGTTCACCTTGGCGACACATTGAGCTATACTGGGTGTTGTCCGCGTGACACTCACAGAAGCCGCGTTGGTTAGGCCATGTAGGCCGAACCATCGTTTGTCGAGCAGAGTGCTGTTTTCCATGCCCAATTCAGAGTGGCGGGAGCGGAGAGGTGTGGCCTATCCTTAACCTGGCAGAGGAGAGATTACGAAACGTTTGGGTGCTGTTGGTGCTACTCGCCTACTAGGATGGGGACCGCGTGGTTCTCACTGCACCTGATGGGAGACGCTGCAAGATATGGCTGCATTCTTGTTGTCAGTTTCTATCCAGATTGCCTGAATGAGTGTCTGGACGTGTAGGCTCCTTGGAATGATTGTAGTAAGCTAGCACTAAGCCTCTTTTGTCCAAAATAAGACTTAGTTGTACAGCAGCAAAGCATTGGTGTTGAACACTGATGTCATACTGTCGCTAATGATGATGACGACATTGAGTGGCCGAAGGGTTCGTGGTCTGAACCCAACTTCTACATCTCGTCTGCTTTGGCAACTTGCTTCGTGTCGCATGGCACACAGAGGGTGTTACAGCTGAGTGGTTGCTTTTCGTTTCTACCATCCACCCACAATTTTACTGAGGTTGGCCCAAGGTAGTTCTACCACGCAGAACAATTTCTACTGGCAACGATGAACTGGCCCAGCCGTGTTTCAAGTAATTTGCCTAAAGTCTAGTACTTAAAATGCAACGGACCACAATACGAGCTAGAATGTGCACATGGCCCGTCAGCCTCGGATGTGCTGCGTACTCATACGGAGTTTTGTAACTAGACGGTGGTGTATTTCACTTGGATTTTCTACTAAAGTTTTTTTTACTATGTTCATCCTTGCTCGTAGATAGAATGGTGGATGTTGATCTGTTTACTGCAAACGTTTCATCACCGATCGTGGACATGTTATCAGTGTGCGGTTTTCTGGGTGGTGCGTTTGTCAAAGTTCGCGAACAAATCAGCATCTACCTGACCTGGCGCGACCGAGATGCTAACAGTTCGATATACTGTCATGACTCACTTTAACTTGGAGAGAACTCAGACTTTCTACCGTCTATTGTCTCCCGCTTGGTTAACTGTGGTTTCATTGCCCTCAAGTCCACAAAGAACAAGTCTCAATGGAGCTCGGACATGTAGAAACTTCAGTTTTGCTCCCCAACTTGACTAAAATGCACTGATTTGGGTTACATCACTTCGAAAATTGCCACACTCAGACTCGCAGCTTTTGGAACAATTCATTTTCGAAAGTTCCAACTGGTAGTCTGCTTGCCATACGTTCCATGGAAACGCTTCATCTTCATTGGGAATCATCACCAGTGCACATCTCACGAAACGCTGGGTAGTCTCGAATCCAGAATCTCCCGGCTAGTAGTTTTGAGCACTTGATTGTTTGACCTGGACTGGATACAGCGCCATCTACGCTTCATTCACGGAATACACATTACATGATCACATGTGTCAACTTGCTCCCCGAATGACGACTTCTCAACTGAGAGTTTCACTCATCGGGTGATTTTGATTTTTCCTCTGAGCTATTCATAGATGGAGACTTCATCCGGTCAGCAGAACCAACACTCTGCTGCCTCACATCGTTTTAGTATAGAAAAGTATACATTGTTCAGCGCTGTCGAGATTTGCATGACCTTGAGGGTAAATTATGGTTTCAGCGAATACCACTTTGACAAGCTTAAGACCTTCCATTCCCGAAACGTTTTTGCATAGGACACATCACCTTCAAACAGGTTCCTTTCTGTAATTCATTGAAGCTCTTCTTGAAGATAGTTTAGTTATCCCCGTTAAAGCGTTTGACTTTAGGATGTCCAAAGTTGGTGGCCACTCGACTTTGTGAGTGAATAATGTTCGGCTTGCATTCTTCAGGATACAGCGGTTGAAGTTTGTTCACGGACTGTACCCTCCGATTAGGCTTTTCCTGCCCGTTTGTATCCGAATTCACTATTTTTGTATTTTTTCTTCCGAACAAGGACTGAACACGTCAACGAACCGGAACATAAGGGTTCCTTTGTGAACCACGTTTACGCATTTGGTCTGCTCTACTCGGCCAGTCTGAAACGGCTGGATGAGGCAGTCAAGGAACCATGTGGCTGACGATTAGACATATTTGTGCCTACTTTCACTTTATGAGTAGTAAAGTTATAATGATTGTTTCCCACCATTTATCCACAGAGAAACATAAACTGCACCACCAGAAAAATGACAATTTTGCCAAAGATGGGTTTCGAAAGTATATCAAATGCGAAAGCTGTGGATTCTCCAGTTGTAAATATTCCGGTATAATCAATCACATTCACTGCATAAGACCAGGTGAGTTCCTACTACCAAAGGCATCAACTGTTACTTCACTCTTGGTTGCATTTGTACTGTATTCGGAGACTTGCCTAGAAATTCACTAATAAATTTGCCACCTGAATCTGACCTCCGAAGACTGCTAATGGTACATAAAATGAGGTCAGTTAGGAGCACTCAGTATAGAATGTCCCACCGCAACTATTATTCCTCAGCATACACCTATATTGGTAGGTTCCAACAGTTAGAGAGGCGTTTGCTTCTTGTAGCTCTCGACTTCTCCTGTCTAGGCTTGGGCAGCCTGGCAGCATCCCAGCTCTCGTACTTCCTTTTGGTAGAATGGCAGCTAGACAGTGAAAGGGTGCTACAGCTGAAGGATGCATTCTATTCTAAATTTCCAGCCGTTGTATGATACTTCATCAGTCTTCCCCGTACTGTGATATACAGAGACCGACTGATATCTTTCAACAGAAGAACGGTTCGGAAGTAACCGATGCAACTTCGTATGTGTATGGGGTGGCTTGTACTGAGAGACTAACAAGACGAAGGTCTACGCATCAAAGCTAACCTTATGAAGATAAAGCAGTTTGCAAGCACGCATGATCTGCAGAAACGAGGACATACTCTTACAGTTGTGTTTAGGAAAGGAAATAGTACATATGCCGTCTGACATCCATGATGTTACTTACAACGTGAATGCAGTTTCGACCATCAAACGCCTGCGGTTTCTCTTCTAGCCTTGTTTCGAATTTGATATTAATCTCTTCCTTTTGACCCCTCCTTTAGCTTCGAACATGCTTTTTACTGTTTCGTATTTTTTATTCACAGGCTGCGATTACGTGGTTCATTCTTCAAGTCAGATTCTGTCACACAAACGAAAGCATGATCGTCGCTACTCGCATCTACCTTCGAACTCATCCGATCCATATCTGACCAACTTTTCACGGTTTTCAAACGGATCTCCTTACAGTATACAAAATTCGAATATTCCCACAAATTTTGGGGAACGGCGTGGGAGCCCGCAAACACCCCCAGACGAGTACGCATTCAACGCGTCCGATCCCACTGGATCTAATATGAGTCCTGAAAAAGAACCCTACGCAATGGAAATCGATGAGAGATTCGAACATTCCGGAACGGGATCGCTCGGTGACGACAGTCTTCCCACTTCGAACAAAACCTTCGGATGTGCGGTCTCCTCTAACCAAGCGAATGAGACGAATATGGAAAATAGCAGGGAAAGCCTGTTGTTCTATACAGTCTCGCGATTGGTCACTCGGTGCGTGCAATACAGAAAGAGAAATGCAATCAAAATGAAAGGACCCGAATCCTCCATGGCCAATGGGAGTAGAGAACACGTAGCAACAAAACCAAACTACACAATCGAATATTTATTTCATTCCAAAGAAGAAGAATCTCGAGACCAATGGGCGGATGATACCGATGATGATGAGTCAGAGGATCGTAAACAGGTACAACAGATAATTGGTCTGGTTGAAAAACATTTCAAGAAATGCACACCGGAAACTGGCGACGGGGAAGCATGTGGTAAGGATCCATCCAAAGTGCACCAGCATTGCTATTGGCCAGGGTGCTGCGCGGATCAAAACGGAGGGTTTCAGAACGAATGTGCTCAGTGGATAAATCACATTTGGCAAGCCACCCTACTGCGGCGTGGGTTGACTCGCTGCGATGGTTCTGACTGCCCACATTCTACGGGTCCGATTCACTTTCACTGTTTTCTGTGGCCTGAATGTGGGTTCACTAGTCCTCAGGGTGACAGTGACTTTGAGATACTATATGGACACTTAGTTCAGCATGACTCGCGTTTGTCCACTCGAAGCGCGGAGGCTTTTGAGTTCAACTCCTCGGGCATTGCCGCAGCTTCGAAAAGGGAACAGAACTCGTCCCTGATCGGGATTACTGACACCGCATACGGGGCATTCGGTCAAATGCCACGTAGACGTGGAAGACCCCCAAAATATACCAAATATGTTCGTGTTCCACGGTTAAACGTTCCGGATGAACTGTGTAAAGACGATCCTCGAGTGCCAGAAATCAACCACTCAATGTTTTTGGCAACTGAACACCAGGATACTGGCGACGGTGATGTAACGAAAGAATCCGATCTGTCCGCTCGAATTGTCTGTGGTGTTAAGCTTTTCCTTAGAAACGAGGCTTGTCAAGATGAATTGTGTGACTATTCCAGTCGAGGTGTAGAACACTATCACTGCATCCGCCCACGCTGTTTCATGACCTCAGACAGTTTGGACATGATGAATGTGCATAGGCGTGAATTTCACAGTCACATCAACATCGCTCCTGGTTTTGAACATTTTGATCGAAGTGTGGATTGTCGACGTCCCACATGCCATAGCCGGCGTACGGCGCAGCATTATCACTGCACTTATCCCAACTGCGATTATTCCTTCATTCGTCCAAGCACAATGCTCCAACACGCGAGAAAACACGAAGAGTTGGCCAAAGCTCGGCGATATTCCGGTTATTTTGTGTCCGGATTGAACGGAAGAGAAAAGCAACTGTCGAAACACCCAGGGAACCCAAAACCTTCAGCCCAGGTGGATGTTAAACCACCATATCTACCCCTAGGAATGTCTCCTATGGTCGCGGCACAGATTCCTTCTTTCTTACCTACTTCGCAGCAAGGAGTGGGCGCCAGTTTGGATCAGGCACCCGAACCGGTGTTTCTTCCTCCAACCAATAGGATGAACGCGGAACAACTACCCGGCTTCCTTCCGATTTGGGCCGCTGCTATGGCAGCTGCCGCGGCTGTTACAAAGCCCAACCCCATACCTTCACTTTTACCAAATACTTCCAAAGAAGATCTGAGTGGGTCTTTCACTGGATCTCAGGATGCTACGATGAGCATTCTGGACTCCAGAATATCGGAAATAGAGGAAACTTCAGTGGGAGTGTGACTGGCAGAACCAATCAACCTCTCATTTTCCACGGTGAGTTTGTGTAATTTTTAGAAATCAGAGAGCCAGAAGTGCTCTAAGCCTAGTGATAACAGGGTTCGGTGGAATTTATTGGCGCCTTGCCTTAGTGAACGATGTCCAAAGAGATGTCAAAGATGGTGAATCCCACAGATATGTCATACAGAATAAGCTCCCTTAAGTTGCCATGTTTCAGAAGAATGGGCGCTTATTCGCATGTTTGTTCCCACCCCCTCATGACCAGGAGTGGTTTAACGATGGCATCCATTTGAGTGCGATTTGGGCTACTTATTAATAATGAGTAGTTAGACAATATATGCAGTTCCATTGCTGCCCCCTTCCACCAAGCAGCTATCCAATAGAGATATGGGTTGGCTGCAGGAAATCACTTATACAGGCGAAATAGAGATAGACGGATTTACAGAGTCTGCAAAAAGTAGACCGAAACGTGTACATTCGACCAACTGCTCAGTTGAGTGTTTATTCGAAGCTTAGGATGCAACTTACAGCTGCCTCGTGTACTGTTTGGCCAAGATTTTGAGCATTAGTTTGATTTGGATTATATAAAACTCTCGATCTGGATGATAAGAACGCGACAGACAATTAACTGAACGATACAACCCTTTTTTCCAACAGGTTCCGAACCATCGGACGTCTCTTTGGATGTGAAGCCTACAACTTCCCGGATTGGTCCACCCAAAAACCCAGTGCGCCTGTGAAGTGTCCCCACGGTGGGCAGTCACTAGCTATATAATTCTACCTCCTTCGAACATGACCATCTGGGTCCCATTCATATTATCAGACCGGGGAGAACAATCAAGAACCCCCACCACCCAGTAACATTTGTGTACAGTATACGGAACTGGACGTTTCTAACCCCCTCCGCCCCGTGATTTGCGACCTCTGTTTGGTTTGTATGTGTGTGTGTGTGTGTGTGTGTGTGTGTGTGTGTGTGTGTGTGTGTGTGTGTGTGTGTGTGTGTGTGTGTGGTGTGCGCGTACATGTGTGATTTTTCTTGTGCGTACACTCACGGATGCCCAGGTTTGGAAACCACAAGGAGAACCAGCTATTCCCCGCCCCCCAACTTCAATTTTTTGTATTTTTCTAAGTTTTTGCTCCCTAGGAATTTTCGGACTTGTACATAGTAAATATGAAATCTCAGTTATGATGTGAACCTGTGTTTTCCGATGGATGGTGTTTAGCATGAATTCCTGTCCTACCGAAACTCCCAGAAGCGAGGAGAATGTATTTGTCTCGTAAACTGCTTACTTTGTTTTAGATTGGAAATCAACCTGTCCTTGAGGGCCTCAAGTGGGCATTTAATCGCTGTATTTGCGGTCTGGAATTTAGCGTGAGTGTGTATGTGTGTTGAATATTCCAACCACTTGTGTATTCCATTTAAATCAGCTCTGAAGGTGAGAAATCTAGAGAAAGTTCCAGAAAGGTACAGAGTTGCTTCTGGACATGGGGTTCTTATGGGTTGCTTTCACTGACCGGAAAACAAGTCGTCTCACTGAACACTGCAGTCAGCCAAGCGGATGATAGTATAACTCGAGAAATGCCTTTCACCAACGGAAGTGACCTTTGACCCTTATGATACTCCGCTTCTCGTGCTTAGAGATCCTTCTGGTTTGATATGTTCAGCGGTGAAGCTCCCCGTTCAATACGAATGGATCGGATGTTTTAATGAAGAGACATGTCCGAGGTACTCGTTATCTGATTCGATGTGTCCATCTCAGACAGACTTACTCTTTTTTCTGAAAGACAGGTCTTGCCACAGTCCGTTGAATTACTTGAAGCCGAACCCAGATTTATCGTCAATACTCGCGATAGCCTCAGACAGACTTACTTTTTTTTCTGAAAGACAGGTCTTGCCACAGCCCTTTGAATTACTTGAAGCCGAACGCAGATTTATCGTCAATACTCGCGATAGCCTGATTTACGCGTGCATGCAAAAGTGTTTAGGTCATAAGCAACAGTTGATCACGTGCCATCTTCGCTTAAATTAGCTGGTCAGCACCTTGGTTGGTATTGGCAACTCATTTGGCCACTGAATGCTCATCAGGCTAAGAAATACCACTCACGAAGCTGTTCGAAGCAGCGCATATCCCGTAGACAGAATTCAGGTACGCATTGGTCAACAATACGAGGAATTAGGTGGCCCAAATGGCATTTCATATCCGCAATACGAGGAATTAGGTGGCCCAAATGACATTTCATATCCTATGACCGCCTAACATATTAGTCATATCTGACTGGTATCCCCACTCCAGTGCCTAGTCCCGAAAGGGGCGAGATGGCCAAGTGGTTAGAGCGGTATGACCGCCTAACATATTGGTCACATCTGACTGGCGTCCCCGCTCCGGTGCCTAGTCTCGAAAGGGGCGAGATGGCCCAAGTGGTTAGAGCGCGAATTTACTGACTGGAAGGTCCATGGTACGAACCCGACCTCTGCCTCTCGACTTCCTTTGTCTAGGCTTGGGCAACCTGGCAGTATCCCAGCCCTCGTGCAACCTTCGGGTGGCAGTTAAGCACCGGAAGGGTGTTGCGGCTGAACGAGTCTCGAAAGGAGAGATTCGAAGACAAGGAACACAACAGCTTTATTGCAACAAACGAGTGCGAGTGCAAAGGTAAAACGGCCTAGCGCTACCTATTGAGGGAACACTGTCTGTCCTTGATGCAGGGCTGTCTCATACTGTCTGACCTTGATCCAGGGCTGTCTTACCTAGCGCTACCTGTTGAGGGAACACTGTCTGTCCTTGATACAGGGCTGTCTCATACTGTCTGATTTTGATCCAGGGCTGTCTCGCACTGTCTGACCTTGATCCAGGGCTGTCTTGCACTGTCTGGCCTAGATCCAGGGCTATCTCGCACTGTCTGACCTTGATCCAGGGCTGTCTGATCAGTGTTTAGTGGAGTTTGAAGGTTTCTGTAGGTTTCGGGCATTCTGAGATAACCTTCAGGAATCTGACCTTCCTGAAAATATTGTTTTAGAAATCATGTTCCTGCAAGTCAGAATCTATCATAAATCCACTGATCACGTTCTTTGGATGATAGTTTTTCAAAAGTTGAATATCCTAGGTTGAGCATTGGCGGAAATACCCAAGCAAAACCGGTGACCCTAATGAAAGTTTTCGCGCACCATGGTGCGTTCTTAAACATTTGTGTGCGTGCAGATACTTTAGTTTGCTGTTCGATTACTTACCGAGTGCGATTCCAAAAATATGCCATTTCATAGCGAAGCAGTTAACCAGACGCTGAGTGCCTAGAGGATTTCAACACAACAGTTTTATTGCGAACAAGCGAGAGCAAAAGTTACAAACAGCATCGCGGTATTTGAAGAGCACTTTCGACCTTGATCCAGGCTGTCCGATTGGGATAGTATGACCACCCACAATGCTTGGCTGTGTTTCTCTGACGTGACTGAACGCTCATCATTGTCGGTTGTGCTTCTATGAAACGCCTGAACACTCATCATTAGCCGTTACTGAACCAATTGGCTACTTGGGCATCCTATCGGCCGCTGGCTTTTCTGGCCCACATACTTAACGGCTTCCCTACTGCGATGGCGGTGGTCTCAGTAGGTTTCGGACATTCTGGGATTGTTTTCAGGAATCTGACGTTCCTGACAGATACCATCTCATGTAAATGCCCATGATACTCAGATTGTTCTGCGTAAAAGCAAGAATGAGAAAACGATTTATGCATACGATAATCCACAGATTTTCATTGCGCACTTACTCTCGTCACCTTTATTCCCCCCGGAAAATTCGATTATCAGGTTGTTCCGAACATACAGGTGGGTGTAATGTTTTTTCTTTGGAAAAAACTTGTATACAGCTGGAACAAGCTCTTCAATTGCCGGGATAAATTGAGCGTTGTAGCCATGGTTGTATGGTGGAACTTAAGACCAAGAACTCCTCAGAGAGCTTAACAAAATGAATACAAGATTATCGTCGGGGGATTGACAAGGGAGAACTTTGCGTATTTTGAATCGTTCTTATCAGGAACGTCAGATTCTTGAAAGTATTCTCAGAACGCACGGAACCTACTGCCCCACCAAAATCTCAACGGGAAAGCCGGCAAGCATCCAGGCCAGTCAATCATTCGATCAATCCACCAAAACCTGATGAGTGTTCATGCACGCCACAAAAGCACGACCGAATGTGATCAGCGTTCAGGCATTTCATAGAGGCACGATCGATGTTGATGGGTGTTCACTAACGCCTATCAGACAGCGTGGATCAATGTCAGAAAGTCCCCTTTAAATAGCGTGGGGCCGTTGTAACTTTTGCTCTCGCACTCGTTTGTTCGGAATATAGCGGTTGTGTTCCCTTCTGTGAGCCTTTTTTTCCAGCATTAGGCACTGGAGCGGGTTAGCAGCAGATACCACAGGTCGGTGAACCAGCAGATATAACAGGTTCACAGTTTGATTACCATGTTCCACCACCCCTCCCAGAAAAACCTGCTACGTACAACATGATTCGTGGCCGATCGTGGCCGAATGATCAAGTGTTCAAACTACTAGCCAGGAGGTCACCGGGAAGTTGTGGGTTCAAGACCCTTCGGGTTTTCGTGAGATGCGCACTGCTGATGATTCCCAATAAGGATGAAACAGCTGTACAGTGCTTCTCGGCTCTTCAGCACAGATTGGCTTCACTTACAGGACGAAATCTCCACACAATAGTTCGCATTTGTGAACTGAGTCTGAGCTGTACTTTACGGCTTTTCGCACCCTTCCAGAATGCGAAACCATGTTTTGCGAGTTCTACGAATTTCTAAGTTCAAGTCAAATGTAATTGGTGCACATTAGACCCTTCTTGTTTGCACTTAAATAAGTCGCCTTTTCAAGGACAGTGTGTCTGCCACAGGAGCACGAGATGTTACTGGAAGCACAAGAAATGAAATGAATATGCTTGTCCTACTCCACGTGACCTGTCACCTTCCAGGTAAAGTGGAATTTTTAAACCAGAATTATAGGTCACTTGGTCACAGGCATGTCAGAGAAACTTTATGAAACAACATACATTGAAGTCCATTCAAAGAGTCGGTCTTTCCTCAGATGATGGCGATCATGAAAAAAAACAGGAGTAAGGAACTGGCAAGACACTCATTGACAGAAGACTACCTCAGTGGTGACGGAAGACTCAAGTAAATCCAAGGATATTCTTCACGTGCGTGTGCTGCACGAAGGCTGCTCCAGGCTGGAACAATGCATAGGAAGATGGGGAACGAGAGATTTGGCTGTATTCCGTTGAATCTCCTGTCAATACCAAATTACTGTGCGACTGATAGTATTTGGTGAATTTCGTTTAATTTGGTTTTCAGATTGCCGAGAACTTACCCTACCTGATGAATTCCAAGAACGGTGGGCAGATTTCGGAAATCTTACGAGTAGCGTATTCCGTCAAAGATGCTTGAAAAGCTGGACTGATGTAGCTATCGTTGGGAGGGGCATGTGATGCAGTAAGGCAAATCAAATCGGCGCTGTGACAGACGAGTGTTTCGAAGTGTTCAGTGAAAGGCGCTTACACAACCGTCGCTGACAAACTACTCCAGATGATATGTGCTCATCGTCGGAAGTTCGTTGAGCCGTATAGATGTTCTATTTAACTGAGCGATCAAGTATGGTTGTACAGAGATCTGACACATATCCATCTGGCTGAGCTAATGTTTTGAGTACATTTTTGTACTTCGAGTATTCGGAGAACCTGAAGCCCTCGAGCTCATGGTTTTGACGGCAGAACGTAGACTGTATGTCTCTTTGGAGCTTCCCTGAGTAACAAAAGACTCCTTCCTAGCTTGAATCGAATATGCAGTCCGCTGTAGGACAGAAAGAATGTTCGGTGGCCTCATAGTTCGAAGCTGCTCACAGCACATTGAAGATTTTGTTTGTACACTGGCGTAGCGCAGATAGATGACTCACTAAGAATGTTTAAGTACCGTTCAATCCTCCCGTGACCACACCCACTGCCTCCGAAGAGCTACTCCGCAATTCATTTTCTCAAAATTCTACAAAGGAGTTCGTAATTAGCCAGTCAATTTTGGAACGTCTGTATATCCTTGTAATGCACTACTCATAAGGTTGCTGAAAATCCGTCGACAGCCCTCAACCGGTTTTTCCCTTCTTGGGGCTCATCAGGTAGGCGCAGTCCCCGAGCTTCCTTT